CTAAAAGCTGACTTCTCACCTTTTGAACCTCTTTTGCTAAATTCTTGTACTTCAAACTCCTTTTATCATTCAATTCTTTGGTAAATGTCTCGCCCCGGTAAGTCATGCTGTATCTAAGCAATGGTGCTACATCATCTACAGAGAATACCATAAAAAAATAACACAATTAACATCAATCTGTCGATAATCACTTTAGAAAGAGCAGAGACATATAACCTGATATAGGCCATAACGCCCTCTAAAACATTTAAAAAACAAAAGGGTTCCCTAACGAACATAAAAATGACCATTATTTAATATTATCATTAAGAGGGAAAATCCTTCCAGACTTCACAAAAACGCTTTTTTTCTCCCATATGAAGTATTTTGGTGTGACGCATAAGAGGGTCGTTCATTCTGACGAAGATTGATAAACGCAGCCAAAAAATTGTGAACGATATAGAACACATCGTTTTGCCCTTACTTTGTCTTAACTTGTCCTTTTAATTTCCAAAAGGTGGTAACAATAGCCGAGTAATGATGAAACAGCCAATTTTAACAATTACTCCGACGACGGGCTAACGCTTGAAACTTCAGCTTTGGAAACCCTTTACGGTTAACACTTAATCAACTGGTTGTCTTATTCTCACTGACGCAGCATAAATTTCTATAAAGATTTACCCCTTTTAATCAATTTCACTTTGTATCATTTTCTGCAAGCCCAATATTACTGTTTCTTACTTGAAAATAATTCTCATCTCCTGAGGTCACTTATTCTCAAAAACTTAGCTAAAAACGCCGAAGGATCCCTGTTCAACACATCCGAAAACACATCCCTAAACACATACGTAAAGTTTCTTCTGCTATTTTAAGGTGGTTGAATACACTATTCCTGGTCAAAGCAGGGGTCAAAGCGGTGTAAATATAAATTTCTCCTCTTTGTAGTCAAATTATCAAAATGGGAGGTCTGGCATGGTAGTCGCTAATAATATGGTAATGTTATTGAGAAATCTTCTCAAGGGCCCTCACCACTATCTCGTTGCTACACTACGCAATTGCCATGCAAAGATCAAATTCTCTTCTGGTTCTCTAACGAAAGGCCTGTTATACCTGAAACCGTTATCAACTTTTCGCACGGGATGGTGCAGACCATACAAAACCTGCTGCTCTGGGCAAGGAGGAGCTACGACTACTTTTTCTGAGTAAAGCGATAGACACATTCCTCAAAAAAAAAAAACAGAAACGTTCTAGAAACTAGTTGAAGGGAAACAATTTTTGGTTCATTTCTCACTTTTCCAGGTACACGTACATTGCATGCTTGAATGTCTTATCAAAAAGTGGTGATTGACAAGATACTAAAACCTTAATAGAAAATCGAATGCTTTTCGAGAACCATTCAATCTGTTTCTGAGTCATGCGACTTTGGGTGCGTACCGATAACGTCATAACCTGGCTTGCGCTCATATTCTACCACAACTGTCCAACTGAATTAGGGAGCATAAGAGCAAAAAAAATTAATAACTATAATAATAATAATAATGATTATAATAATAATTAAACAACATGCCAAGTTACAAGCGCTAGACAACATCAAACAGAAGTGCGAAAGCAAAGCCATGCACGGACAATATCTGTCGAGAATTATGGAAGCAGATGTGGACTTTAAGCAAACAAATAACTGGCTGAAAGGAACAGGATGGAAAGCTGAAACTGAAGGCTTAATAATAGCAGCTCAAGACCAAAGTTCAGCTACCAGATTATACCACCATAAAGTCATCAAAGACGGAACTAGCCCGCTCTGCCGATTATGTAATAGGTGTGATAAAAGCATCGACCACATTCTATCTGGATGCCCGGAGTTAGCCAAAACCGAATACATCAAAAGACATAACAACGCCGCAACTTACATGCCATGGAAGATCTTAAAGCATTACAACATCAAAGCAAATGAAAAGTGGTACGAGCACCAACCAGAAACTGTTACAGAAAATGAAAAAGCTACTATTCTCTGGGATATGCAAGTACACACCGATAAAACGATCAAAGGTAATAAACCTGACATTATTAATAAAGATAAGCAAGAAAAAACATGCATACTGATAGATATGGCAATCCCCTCCGACCGAAATACATCAGTAAAAGTAGCAGAGAAACTGTCCAAATATAAAGATCTGGAAATTGAGATTACGAAAATGTGGGGCTTGAAAACAATAACAGTGCCCGTTGTCATAGGGGCCATTGGAGTAGTCAGGAAAGGCATTAAAAACACATTGACAAGATACCAGGAAAAATTAACATCACAGAACTTCAAAAGATAACTCTCCTAGGATCCAGCCACATCCTCCGAAAAGTTCTATCGATCGAATGAAGACCATGACTACCCATTGGAGCCTCAGAACCTGGATTGGATCCGGCGCTAATGGTGACAGGACAGAAGAGTCAAGAAGAATCAGAGATAATAATAAGTGGAATACTTGGATCGACATAAGGCTGTGCTAAAGGTGCTTTTCTTTGAGGTGTGTAAAAACCTGAAGCTAGTGGACTCAGTACCACAATGGTATTCGTTAGTAGCACCCAAACCAGTGTACGAATCTTCGGATGCTCAAGCGTACCGGGATGTACCAGTGTATGCCGACCACAGTCACGTCAAGGCCAACAGAGTGGATACCAGGTTCGTGGATCACTACAGGAAGCAAGCCTGGGCGGTGGAAATGAGTTGTCCCTTAATAGATAACCGCGGAAAGAAGGAGAAGGAAAAGAAGGAAAAATATGCCCCTCTGCGATGGGAGCTTAAAAAGCAATATCTTGGATATTGCGTGGAGCAGTGCAACGTAGTTATCGATGTGCTAGGGGGGGAGGGTCGTCGAAGGAGCTCGAGAAAACAATGAAGAAGCTTGTGGGCGCTAGGAGCAAGGAAGGCCTGCGAAAAATGCAGAAAGCGACGACACTCTCAGGCTCGCTTAACGTAGCGCGCACCTTCAAGGCCACCTTTAAGTAACAGTGCGAACTTTAGTGTTTTAGAGACTTTTAGGGAATATTGTAGAGACCTTTAGGGAATATATCGTTAGAGTTTTTAGACAGAAACATAGTTATCTGTATTGACGTACGTTTCTTAAGAAGGCATGGGCTACGCTTTGCGCCCTATGTTCTTTTATTTATTATAGCACCTATACATGTACACTGCATAATAATAAGAATGGTCCTAAAAGATAATAGCAAGGGCCCCTCAAACAATTTTTGGGACGGTCTTAGAAAATGCCCGACAGTTCCTTTGTAACCCTATATTTCCACAAACAGCATCTTTTCGCAGCTGATAAATCAACAACAAACTTGGTTAAAAATATTTTTAATTGTTTGAAAGTTACTCGTAAGTGAGGCCTTAACTCCGAAAAAAAAAAAACTTAACCCCCGAAGTGGAGAGAAAATCTAGTGATGAGGATTTCCCGAGAATGCCCAAAGAGAATATTAAATGAGTTTTCCTCAAAACAATAACATAGTAATGAGTTTATGCCACGCCCACTATTTCAAACTTCAATCCTTTTGTAAGTACATGTTTAGAAACTGTTTACCTGCAAAGAGGGAAAGTTTTCAAGAGCTCTGCATATAGCCAGTATGACCTTGGAGAAAATGTATGCAACTATCTTAACACGCACTTCATTTTCATTGGAATGCTGTACAAGTAGGTTAATTAAAACTTACTCTCCACAGCAATATCAACTGTAGCCTCAGTGGAATTCCCAATTCCATTCTCAGCTTTACATTTGTAAGGGTAGGGACCAGTTTCCTGCGGCGTGATGTAAAGATAATTTCCGTCAGAATCTTGAACCTCCCCCCTCAGAGTCCAAGTAATGTTTGGTTTGGGATGTCCAACTGAAAAGCATGTCAAAACGGTCTCTTCTCCTTTCTTGACATATTTTTTGCACGGCGACGTCTTGTTTATTGCTGGAGGAGCTAATATATGAAAATACAAATACATGAACAACAAGATGAAAGGGCTGTTTAATAATATCATACAATATTTCATTATCATCAGGAATGCTAATTCCTCCGGCACTGTCTCCTTGAGAAAACTTCGAGTGTGAAGCAAAGTTAAAAGTTATTCGGAGAACCCGTACACACTGCGCTTAATAAATTTCAAAACTAAACCGTTTATTCTCATCGAAATGAGAATCACAATTCACAGTCAGTATTTATTGCTTCTACTCCTATACCTGAGTGCATGAAATCAGGACTTGTGACTTTGTGAAAATATCATTTCAGGAGGTCATATCTTACGTACGATACTAAACATCAAATGGGTCATTCCGTCAACAATGAAGAGTTCTCTATAGAGCAGGACAAGGAAGACACTGAGAAGTCGCCTCCCATGGTTTGAACATGACAGGTTGGAAGACACTTAATACAGTCATTTCTACATACATATGCACGATCCTCACAGTAGATAGCGCTATTTAAGCAATAGCGAAAATCAGACCTGAAAAAAATCAGGCCTGTACGGGATTCGAACCACTGACCTCTGCGATACTAGTGCATCATATGTAGAACGGTAAACGTCAGAACGACGTCCTTTTGGGAACGAAAATGGTCTCACTGCAGCTTTTCCACAATCCCAATCTCCCTGAGTAAGTCTGAATTTCATCGAGTGATTGAAGAATATATATATATATTCTTAGTCAGACTCAGGTGTGTACAGTTCTACCTGTCACGTCCATCATATTAGGACTGTATCTCGTTGAAGGTTCAGTGGTTATCTTTTAATTTTATCATTTTATCTTGTCACTCCAATCCGACTAGGACATTCATCAGATCGGCGGAAAAGAGCCGCTTTTACTGCGAAATCAATTCAAGACCCCAGGCAATAAGCGAACATTTCAAGTTCTGCATGACACAGAATTGTGAACTTATTCGTTCTTGTCTGTATAATTACTATTTCTTACAAATCACATGTGGGAGAATTACAATTCAATTGCTTTGTGATGTCTTCTTTACTCAGTCCTCTGTCACTTAAATGAAAAAATTTA